GAGCCCCTATGAGCCCAGGTTCGTTGATTCTGTAGGTTTTCTTGTGGTGTCTTTGACCCCTCTGGCTCTTACAATCCTTCCTCCTCCTCTTCCTAAGGATTCTCAAAGCTCCCCATGTTTGCCTGTGGGTCTCGGCATCTGTTTCCACCCGTTGGCTGAGCACAGCCTCTCTGATGACGAGGGTGCTCCGATGGGCTCCTGCTTGCAGGCATAGCAGAGTGTCATCAACGGGTCAGGGGTGGGCTCCCTCTCCCGGCCTGGGTCTCAAGCTGGACCAGTTGGCCAGTCCCTCCCTCTATTTTTTCTTCCTCTTTACCCCAGCACATCTTGCAGGCAGGACAATTGTAGGTCGAAGGTTTTGTGCCTGGGTTGGTGTCCCAAGATTGGAAGTCTTGCCTGTTTACAGGAGATGGCTGGTTCAGGCTCCGTATCCCCCGTTGCTTGGAGTCTTAGCTAGGGTCACCCTCGTAGATCCTGGGAGTTTCCATTGCCCTATGTTTCTAGCTCACCCTGGAGATGCCCTCAGCTCTAGTCGTCTTCCTCTGTGCTCTTCTCCACCTTCCCTCTGCCTGGATTCTCCTGAACCTAGCCCACCCCTGCCCCACTCCCATGATGTCTATTTTATTTTCCTTTCTCAGTGAGATTCAAGTGTGCCCCCTCAAGCCCCCCTTGTTGCTTAGCTTTTTTGGGCCTGTGGATTGTAGCATGTCTGTCTTTTACTTTTCAGCAAATATCTACTTAAAAGTCACTGCACAACACGTTTTTCATTCCGCCTCTCGATTACCTCACTCGGGATGATCTTTTCTAGTTCCATCCATTTGCCAGCAAATTTCATGATTTCATTGTCTTTAATAGTTGACTAATACTCCGTTGTATAATTTTAACACATTAAAAAAATCTGTTCTTCGGTTGAGGAATATCTAGGTTGTTTCTAGTTTCTGACTACTATGAATAAAGCTGCTATGAGCAGAGTTGAGCAAGTGTCCTTGTGATATGACGGAACATGGACATGTACCCAGGAGTGTTATAGCGGGATCTTAAGGTAGATTTGTTAGCACTGCTTTTTATTTGTTTGTATGTGCAGAAGTGTTATAGCTGAGTCTTTTTTTGAAGATTTATTTATTATATATACAATATTCTGTCTGCATGTACACCTGCACACCAGAAGGCACCAGAGCTCCTTATAGATGGTTGTGAGCCAGCATGTGGTTGCTGGGAATTGAACTCAGGACCTCTGGAAGAGCAGCCAGTGCTCTTAACCTCTGAGCCATCTCTACAGCCCTATAGCACTGCTTTTTAAACTCTATTTTATTTTGTTTTCTTTACTTTCCTTCTCCACCCCCATCTCTTCCTACACCAGGTAGGAGAGACGGTTAGGGGGGAGAAGGGATGTAGTTTGCTTTGGTTACTTGCTGCTGGTTAGGGTCATCGGGTTCCCTGGGGCAAGTCCAATCTTTGTTTCAGGAGATCTCTGACTTCTCGTCAGATGGCAGCAACAGCAACCAGGAGCAGCAGCAGCATTCTCAGAGCTCCCTTTCTCTCTAGGCTCTGGCATCTTCTCTCTCCAGAGTCCTCAATTAAACTATCTGCCACTGGCAAAGAGCCCCTCTCTGAGCCTACACGAGGTGTGGACAATCTGAATCAGCCCCAAGTTTCACACCTGGGATTAAAACAAAAACAGGTTTACAATAACATAACTGAGTTTTTTGTTTGTTTGTTTTTTCGAGACAGGGTTTCTCTGTGTAGCCTTGGCTGTCCTGGACTCGCTTTGTAGACCAGACTGGCCTCAAACTCACAGAGATCTGCCTGCCTGTCCCTCCCAGAGGGCTGGGATTACAGGTGTGCACCACCATGCCTGGTTTCACAACTGAGTTTTAAAGACACCAAAACTTCTACTACAGAGATCTATTCCCAATTTTCTGAGAAACTGCCAGATTGATTAAGGGAGTGTTTTTGAACATGTGTGTATGCTGATGGCAAGGCTTTCAAGCTTTTGGTGGAGTCTGATTTTGCCTTGGACCTACAGCTTTGCCCTTCTCTAGACCCAATCAACACCAGGTAGGTTCAACAGGGACTTCTGTGATTTTAACTTAGGTGTGCAGCTGTCTTCATTTTGGGCATATAAGTTTTCCATTTTATTCTTACCTTTGTATTTGAAAGCATGTTTATTAAGATTTTTTTATAATTTATTTATTTTTAAATGTGTGTTGGTGTTTTGCCTGTATATATGTCTGTCTGAGGGTGTCAGAGCTTCTGGAACTGGAGTTTCAGACAGTTATGAGCTGCCATGTGGTTGCTGGGACTTGAACCCCAGTCCTCTAGAAGAGTAGCCAGTACTCTTAAGCCATCTTCTACTAAGCCATCTTCCCAGCCCCTGTTTATCAAGTTTTATTCAGAATTTCAAGATCTGTATATCAGCAATATGTTTGGGTCCTACAGTTAACAGTATCTATATTTATTACTTAATTTTTTTTTTTAGATTTATGTATGAATATTTTTGCTTACATGTATATATCTGTACCATGTGCACATGTGGTCTTCATAGAGGTCAGAAGAGGCTGTCAGATCTGTCAGAACTGGAGCTTTGGATGGGTGTGAGCTACCATGAGAATTCTGAGAGTTAAAGTTAGGTCCTCTGCAAGACCTAGTGCCCCCAACCACGGAGCTTTCTCTCCTGGTTTTGAAATGGCCTCATTCAGTGGTCTTGGAAAACTTTTCACGTAGCTTAGCCAGCCTCACACTCAAAGCGACTCCTGTGCCTCAGCTCCCAAATGCCGAATTAACATATGTGAAGTACTACATCCTGCATTTTTTCTACTTCTTTGAAAATAACAGAAATTATTTGAGAGTATATATTAATGTATAAATGGTCTTAATATTTTTAAACAATAATATAGACATTGTAGGATAATTTGACAATTACACCCAAATTAGGAACTCTGTCTTACAGTTGTGAGAGAGAAGAGGCCTTCTTTCCTAAGCCTCTTGCCTTGTTTTTAAATGGACGACTTCCCCAAGGTAGGGAAGGGTTGGATGAGGTGACAGATGGAGTCCACACAGGAGTCTGGGAGAAAGGCAGGGCTGGTGTCAGCTCCGCTTGCAGAGACCTAGGTGGCTGCACGATTCTTTGAGCCAAGCTCCAAGGGGAGGTAGGAATGTGCCAAGTGGACTGGGGACAAGGGGAAGGTGGATGTTTGCAGTGGCCATGGCATGGAGTTCAGGGGAGAGCCAGTGGCTCAGTTTGTCTAGGGTAAGGTATGAATGGAACACAGGAAAGAACAAGGAAGCCTCTCCCCCATTCCCTGTGAGGGGTTAGAAGTGCTATGCTGAAACCAGCGGATAATGGAGAGTGCTTTCAACCAGGGAGCAGAAATGAAACGAACAGGTTTCCCAAGCAGAAGAATCACCCTGGAACAATGTAAGAGATGCAATGGGTCCTTGATGGTAGTGACAGATTCTGGGGCCCAGAAGACCTTCAGTGATGTAAAAGAGTTAAGTGTTTAAAAACAAACAAACAAACAAACAATGGGTTTGGAGATATGGTTTAGCAGCTGAAAGCATTTGCTGCTGTTGTAAAGCACTGAGGTTGGATTCCCAGAACCAGTGTGGTGCTCACTAGGGCTTGCAATCCCAGTTCCAGGGGATCCAGCACCTCCTGCTGCTGCACACACATGCTACATATGAACTCTCTGTCACACATACACACACACACACACACACACACACACACATACACGGAACTTTAAAAAAGTAACTGACGTTACTCTTCAATTGCTTGTCTTTTTGTACAGGGTCTCATTATGAAAAGCCCTGGCTTGCTTGATACTCACTATTGTAGATCAGGTTGGCTTTGATTTGCAGTGACCCTCCTGCCTCTGCCTTCTGGCTGATGGCATGATAGGAATGTGCCACCATACCTGGCTCATGGTATTTGATGTTACTGATATGGTTAGAATGCGGTTTGGCCCATCTTGTCTTTTGTGATCTGGCAAGTGGCACCCAGCCGGGATGGAGAAATCCTATAGCCAGGCTCTGGTTATTAGTCTGTCATTGAGAGTGTGGGCTACGTGCAGGAGTGGAGGGGTTGGGGTAGAGATTAAGAGTGTGGGGTATGGGCAGGAGTGGGGGAGGGGCTGGAGGTTAACCCAGGGTACGGTGAACTGGGTAGGACGTCCTGCTGGCTTTCAGATACTGGAGACATCTAGTGAAGTGAAGGAAGAGGTCGAGTTGACCAAATGTTAGGCACTGACGGGATTCTCCATCATGGGCCTGGTGGACCCATCCCATTTGTCTCATTCTTAAGTCCTTCATGGAAAAAACAGGAAGTGAAAAAATTGAATGCATCTTTATTCTTAATTATGTGTATCTGTGTGGGAGCGTGTGCTCATGAGTTCAGGTGTCTTCAGAGGCCAGGCCATTAGATCCACCAGAACAATTACAGGAGGCTCACAGCACCTAACCTAAGTGCCAGGAATTGAACTTGGATCCTCTGATCCAATTAAGAGCAGAGCATGCTCTTAATTCCTGAGCCATTTCCCCAGCCCAATTTTTTTCTTTACCTTAAAAAGGTATGAGAGAGATGACAAAAATGTGAGGTAAATACCAACGGTTAGCCCTGGGTGGGAGTATGGCAAAAATGCTCGTGGAAGCAGCAGGGCCAGGATTCAGCTAGAGGCAGTGCGCCTGTTTAGGCAAGGAAGGGCTTACATTAGTTTTCTTGATATGCCAGTTTTCTGAGTTTCCTATCTTCCCGAATACCATCTCAAACCAAACTATGTAAAACTTGTTCACAGTCTGTGGCAAAGAGATTTAATATGTTTCGACCCCCCCCCCCCCCCCAAGCCAGTTTATCTCCAGGGAGCCAAACTTCCCTGAACTCACCCACCCATAGTTCCCAAGGTGGCCAAGCCCTATGGGGGTTGAGAAAGCTTACTGGAGGTGTTTAGAGGCAGCAGGGAAAATGAAGAATGTCTAAGAATGGAATCCATGAAACGGCCTTGGTGCTGGTTAGATTTTATTTTAACAGGATGTTTTCTGTTCATTTGTTTTTCAAAATATCAGTTATATCAATATTAGAAGTGTAAACAGGTACAAAATATACAGTACATAGAAACCATTTTCTTAACTAGTCCATTTCTAATAAAGTATGCAGGAGGTTGCTGAATGGGCACCATGGTCTCTGCCCTCTTCAGGGAGTCATTAGCCATTTGGGCAAGAGGACCAGTGGCTGCTTAAACAAAATGGGAATGGCTATGTGTGGGGGGACAGCATTGTTATGACAGAAACTTGGACCTAGCTCTAATTCCACTGAAGATATTCCAGGCAGGCCTGAGCCATGTACCCAGTTACCTGGCAATCCAACTGCCCCCTGCGTGCCTAGTGATACATAAGCACACACACCAGGGGGCTGTCCAGCTCGAGCTGCTGAGGCAGGAGGAGTTTTGTGTCTTGATGCTTTGATCCATGTGTGTAGGACAAAGCTTTTAAAAGGACAAGATCTCAAAATCTTCCCTAAACTGTTGTTCTAGGAGAACTGGGTCTCAGCTGCAGCTCTTCCCAGCTCCTGGAACACACAGTCCTCATGGTGAGAGGTTGTGTCCCCTTTGAACCCTTTATTTCCTCTTCTCTAAAAAGAACCACCTGTCTAGCTGCTTTCCAAAGTCATGGTAATGGTGGAATGAGCTGTGAAGTGGAACCATTTTGAAAATGAACATACTACACAATGGCAGCCAACAGAAGCATCTATGGGTAATGGACATAACCCAAGATGGGTGGCTCTGGCTTTCTGTGACTTCATGTCTGAGGGCTAACCACCCTCAGACCTAACACTACTACAGCTCCATGACTCGTCTTAGCCAGGCCCAGGAGTCACTACCACAGAGGACATTACCACCTTGGACAGGTCCCGCAGATGGCTCAAGGGAGAAGTCAGGCTTCGGCTTTATGGGGTCTTTTCAGGAGGCAAGGGCTACTTCTAGCGGGGTTCTTACTGATGGGTGGAGGCTGTCTAGGGCCAGTGCCCTCATCACCCAGGGCCCAAGGTCTCGGCCAGCTGCCTGGCTAGATGAGGAACTCACCTGCCACAGGACTGTGTGGTCCAAGGCCGGGAGTGCCCTGGCCTGCTTCTCCCACTGACTGTCTTTCCAACACCGCTAAGACAAAGTAGACACACACCCCTTAAAGCCACAAGTACACCTCAAAACTTCAACTGGTGTTGATACTGTTTTTCAGCTTTTTCCTCAAGAATTAAAGAGAAAAACAAACAAAAAAATGGGTTTGTAATTAAATTACTTAAGATCCTATTAAGCTGTTCAGTTTCACAGTCGGAATCCTACTTTCTTTAAGGTGGAGGTTGCATTGATAGTTTCTATTTCCAGTGATCAGTTCAGCAACATGGAAATTTGGTTCTCTGCCAAGTCTCCCTCTTTGCTTCTGAGCTTTCAGGCCACCCTGCTATCTGCACACGGGACTTTGTACATTTGTGGCCTGCAGGGGGCCACATGGAGCGTTGCGGCCCTCACAGGTCTCCACCGCCATCAGTGGGTCCCAAGACACTTAGGCCACAAGTCCAGTCAGTCACAAGGTCTGTGGAGGCCATAGGTCCTTTGGCTGCAGGGCTCTTGAAGGGGTCGGGAGGGGCTGGCAGTGGCGGAAGCGGCTGACCATGGGCGGGCGCCTTGGCCACTGCTGGGTGGTTGCGCTGGTGTTTGCGGAGGTGGTCCTTGCGGATGAAGCTCTTGCCGCACACCGTGCAGGTGAAGGGCCGCACGCCCGTGTGCGTTCGGTAGTGGTCGATGAGCTTGGAGCGCTCTGTGAAGCGCTTCTCGCACTCGGTGCAGGGGAAGGGCCGCTCGCCCGTGTGCAGCATGCGGTGGCGGATGAGATGTGCGGGGCGTGTGAAGCAGCGGCCGCACTCTCCGCACCTCAGGGCGCTGCTGTCCCTCGCACCGCCCCCACCTCCACTGCTGCCTCCGCCGCCACCACTGCCGCCACCTCCGCCTCCAGCAGCAGTGGAGGCTGCCCCCGCGCCCGCGCCGTCCGACAGTCCGCAGCTCCGTTGGTGTGCACTCAGGCTCACCTGCAGCTGGAAGCTCTTTCCGCATGTGGCGCAGGTGAAGGGCCGGCCTCCAGGGGGCGCTGCCGGGTGCTTCTTTAGCCCCGGCTTGTGGCCGAAGCCTTTGGTCCGGCCGGGGTATTTGCAGGGATCATTGAAGGGTCTCGGGGCCTGGCTGGGGTCCAGGATGACCTCGCCATTGTCTGGAGAGGAGAAGGGGAGTCCCTCGGGCATCGTCCTTGGGTTCAGGCCCACTGGAGGTTTACACCGGAAATTCCAGCCCCACCTGACCCCACCAAAGAGCCAGTCCCCGGCAGGAGCCTCCTCCTGTGCAATGGCAGGACTGAGCTCACCAATGTCCCTCTCTGGCCGAGCTGGCTCCCGCAGCCCCAGCACAGGGTCCTGGCTGGGGAAGGAACTGCCTTGGCTTTCCCAGGCTCCTTCTTGGACAGGGCTGGGGAAGAATCTTGCGGCTTGGCCTGGTGCAAACAAAGTCCCATGAGCCTCCAGGTCTGTGGGATGCACAGGTGTTGCAACCACCTCCTCTTCCTGGACTTCAGTTTTGATAACAATTTTTACATCTGCTGAGAAAGAGAGAAGGGCAGAGATCATTCTGGACACTTTAAATACAACAAGGGACAGACAGCTTCATTTGGAAGCAGAGCAATCACCCAGCCCCATGGAACAGAACATGGGACCTAACCCCACATAAAATGCACATCCCGCCCCATCCCTAGCCAAAAGCTTCACCTGGCCTGCTGACTTCCCCACAGTAAAAGCAGCCCTCAAATTTGGTTCCCAGATTCTGTTTTCTTTCTTTGGCTGGTAAATTATGAATTTATTCTAAGAAAGGGACTCTGAGTGTGGTGGTCATGTCCTAAAAATAAGGCAGAAGCACAGGCCTGGCCTCTGCGGCATCTGGGACTGTACAGCTGTCAGGCACATTTTTTAGCCACAGTTTCACTGTGAGTACCCAACCGCACAGGGCTGCAAGATTAGCCTGGACAACACATGGAAAGGACCCTTGGCCAACCATCTGGTAACCTGTAGTTACCTGATGACCAAAATGCTACTGAACAAGTAGAACTGTTTGACTTTATATAAATATACTGAATTTCAACCCCAAGACTTGTTATCAGGGACCCTGGTGTTTTATCATATTTTGGTGGTGGGAGTGGGAAAAGATGACATTTTTATTAAGGTAACAGAAAACTGGCCTTCAAACAAGGGAATGTGAGAACAAGAATGTGGAAGTCGCTCTTCCCAACTCTTTGGCAGCACTGACATCTAGGAAGTGGTTTTAGCTTAGTCTGTTTGCATCTGTGCCATGGGGGCCACAGGTTGCCTGGGGGAGGGGAAGGCTTGTCCTCCTAGAAATCAGCTTATCTGAATAGATTGGCTAACTCCCCGTGGAAGGAACTGTCTATAAGAAATGGGTATCCTCAAGAAACGCTGTTCAAGTCAGAGAGCTCCGAAGGAGGTAGAGAGCAGGAAGCACAGCCAGCGGGAGAGCAGACTCTGCATGCTGGCTGAAAGGCTGGGACAAGTCACCAGGAAGAACAGAGCTCCCGTCCAGGCGTTCAGTCTCCTCCACTGCTGTACCTTCTGTGGATGCCGCTGTGTTTAGCTTCAGTGTGCCATCTGAGCATGCTGAAGAGGGGTGGTGGGGAGGGAGATCTGCTTGCCAGGAAGAGGGTGGGATGGTGGTTGAAAAGTTGGAATGAACACCTGTAAGGAAGAGAAGTCGCAGCCTGTGAGTTAGGGGAAGGACAAGGACATGGGAGAATAGTGAACATGAAAACTGAGGGAGGGGCGGGCAGGGCAGGGCAGGGCAGTGAAACCCTGAAAGCCCTCCTCAGGACTGCTCTGAATGACCATGTGTGGCTTCTTTGAAGCTAGTGCCTTTTGCTCCCTTCTCTAAAGCATTGGAAAGTCAAATATTACCAACTCACTCACCTTCAAAACGAGTTGAGCCTATGCCTCAAGGTAGGTTTGAAAAACTAACAAGATGTTAGGCCAGATTTTCTTCCTCATTTTAAAAATATTTATTTTTATTTTACATGCACAGGTGTTTTGTCTATATGCATATCTGTGCACCACATGCATGCACTGTACCCTCAGAAGCCAGAGAGTGTGTCAGATCCCCTTCTGACAGTTGTGAGCTGCTATGTGGGTGCTTGGAATTGAACCAGTGTCCTTGGAAGAGCAGCCAGTGCTCTTAACTACTAAGCCACCTCTGCAGCCCCCAGGCTAGATTTGAGACCTCACAGTTCCTCAGACACTTTTAGGCACCTTTCCAAGCCCTACCCTCAGTCCCCAAAACTTATCCCTGCTCCCGTCTCAATCACTTACCAGAGGTAGCATCTGTGGAGATGTCTCCTGCCCCAGAGTCCAGCTGGCTGAGGCCCCAGGGCTCTTCCCCAATATCTGGCTGTCCAGCTGCCCAGGCTTCCACACCAAGAGCCTGCTGCTCCTGCAGCTGAAGCTCACCCTCTTGCTTGATCTGCATCAGGAGGTCAGGGGCAGGAACTGGGGCTCCAGAGCCTAGGAAAAGGAGAACATGTGAGTCCCTCAGGCCTGAGCTGAATGTATGTGTAATCAAGGAGATTTTTAGGGTCTATCAGTACAAGAAAGCCATGGCAGCAGGTGCCTGGGTTGGTGAAAGGGAAGAACATACAGGCATGTTCAGGTCCAAGGGCAAGTCTCAGCTGTCCTGGAATCCTGCTCTCACTTGTATGTAACACAGGAATGCAGGACTGAACTCAAACTCATCTTGCCCCCTCCATCCTTGTATATTCATATGAGCTTAAAAGAAAGAGTCTCGAGGTAAAGGAAAACAATTTGACCGGGAAATAGAGTGAGGAGCTGAGGAGGTAATTCAGTAGGTAGTGCCTGCCTAGCTCACGGAGCCCCTGGCCCAATCCCCAGCATTGCATAGAACAGGTACAACTAGGAAATCCCAGCACTTGGTAGGTAGATGGGCTAGAAGTTTAAGAACATCCTTAGCTACAAAGAGAGTTTGAAGCCAGTCTGGGCTACATCAGGCCCTGTCTTAAAAAAAAAGTGTGGGGATCAGAGTGGATGGTAAATGACCCAGAGAGTTCTTGACAGATGAACAACAAAGCTGCTACAATCATCTCAGTGGATGTTAGCAGTGGCATGCAGAGCACTTCTGTTTCTGGCAAATGGCAGCTAGACATGCAGAGAACCAGAGAAATTTCCCCTAGTATGGGCATCTAAAACATTGGGGAAAATACAAAGTTTTTGTTTTGTTTTGTCGAGACAAGGTTTCTCTGTGTAGCCCTGGCTGTCCTGGAACTCTCTCTGTAGACTAGGCTGGCCCTGAACTCACAGTGACCCAAATGCCTCTGCCTCCTGAGTGCTGGGGTTAAAAGTGTGAGCCACCACCTCCTGGCTAATACAAAGCCTAGGTGACAACCTACAAATAAAGGTGAACAGAGGTTGGAGGATTGCCGCCTGGGAACGCCAATTTACTGACAACTGACTTCTCCCCAAGAACAGTCAAGTCAGAAGAAAGTAGGGCATTATTTTCACAGATAAAAAAATAACAAACACACTAGAATTCTGCCTTTCAACTACAGAGATGGAAAAAAGACATTCATATTTCATATTTTTCCTATTTCAGTTACATATAAGCCAAGGTTCCATTAACATCAACCTCATAAAAGTCACTCCTTGAAGAAAGAAACAAAAATCCTAAAGCTTCCTGAAACGAATAAAAAGTTTAACTTTTTCTTTTGCTTTTTTTTCTCTGTGTAGCCCTGAAATCCACTCTGTAGACAGGCTGGCCTTCAACTCACAGAGATTAGCCTGCCTCTGCCTCCTGAATGCTGAGTTTAAAGGTGTGTGCCACCATTTCCAAGCAAAGTCTAACTTTCAAACTAATTAAAAATAACAATAGTCTGGGGAGCTGGAGAGATGGCTCTGTGGTTAAGAGAACTGTCTGCTCTTCCAGAGGTCCTGAGTTCATTTCCCAGCAACCACATGGTGGCTCCCAACTGTCTCCAATTCTGCAGATTCTGACACCCTTCATACCAATGCATAAAGAATAAAATTAAATAAACTAAAAAATAGTCTGAAGGGGAAGGGAACAGTAAATGAATACTCCTCAAAGGAAGAGTGTAGAAGAGACAGGAGTAAGACTGGTGTCTCAGGGAACACAGCAGAAGGGGATGCAAAGGGTGGCCAAGGCCCTGTGTGGACCAGCCATGCCACACAGATGGTGTCATTCACCCATGTCTCCAAAAGCGTCCCAGCAGCAAAATCAGAAAAGGATGAGGAGGGGTGGAGAGATGGTGCAGCGCCTCAGAGCGCTGGCTCTTCTAGAAGATCTAAGGTTTTAGTTCCAGCGTCCACATGACAGCTCACAACCGCATGTAACTCTAGTTGCAGGTGAGCTAATGCTCTTTTTGGTTTCTGAGGGCACTAGGCATACAAGCAGTGGACAGACATGCATGCAGACAGAACACCCATGTATGTAAAATAAAAAAACAAGTTAACAGAAAGCAAAATAGAAATCAGTAATATCATGTAGGTATGTATATACATACACATGTATCTTTCTAAATAATCAAGGGCCTAAGGGAAAACTGAAACACACTAGGATGCTAGTGTTGATGAAAATATAAAAATTTGTGAGTCGGACCTACGGCGGCACATACCAGAAATTTTATAGCAGAAAAAAACAGGATGAAAATTAATGGGCTAGTTAGGTAATGCAAGGTATCACAAAAGAAGCAATACCAACAACAAAAGCCTTTATTTTATTTTACATATTTTTTTGAGTCAGGGTTTCTCTTTATAGCTGTGGCTGTCCTGGAACCTACTCTGTAGACCAGGCTGGCTTCAAAACAAAAGCCTTTAAAGAACAGAAGGAAGCTACACCTGTGCTCAGGCCTCTAATTCCAGCTTCTTGGCAGACAGTGGGAGGAAATCACAAGCACATATTTAAGGTCAGCCTGGGCAACATTCTCAAAAAGTCTCAAAAAGTGGGAAAAAACCAAACCCAACAGCTGGGGACACAGCTCAGTGGCAAAGCACTCGCCTGCAAGTGTGAAGCTCTAAGGATGGAATTAGCCGATTAGTGTACAGGAAATAATGTGGAAAACAAAAGATTGCTTTACTGAAAAGAGTATTAAGCCAGTTCAACTCAAGTAAAACCCTATGAGAAAAGGAGAGAGAACACATCCCCAGCCTGAAAATGAAACCAAAGGAGTGAGTGGGCTCAGATGCAGCTGACGAGCACACTGCGACAGTATTCTAAACACCCTTCTGAAAAGTCTGCAGCAATGGACAAATTCCTAGAAAAATTACAGCTTGCAAAAACTGAACCAAAAAAAGAACAGAATACCTAAATAATCTTTTAACTAAAATAAAATAAATCTGTGTCTAAACCTTCTAACAAAGAAAACTGAGACCCACATGGCTTCAATGGTGTCTTCTGAACACCCAGAGTACATCATTCCAACATCATGCAGACTCTGAGCAAATAACTATCTTCAGCACTAAGAGCAGGAGGAGGCAGTCTGCAAAAGGAGAATTACAGTCTAACAAAGAATTACAGACCAACAAAGACAGATTCAAGTTTTACAACAATCGACATAATAAATCTATAATGCGCACAAATGACAATGATACAGGAAGTTTATTCTTAGGCTGAAAGGTTGGCTCAACTTTAGGAAATAATGTAATTTATTGTATTACTACACCACAGGAAACAAACAAAAAACTGTATCATCTCAACAGATGCCAAAGCCAAGCAGAAATCCACTCTATAACACTGTGGTCCTCCTGTTGGGTGCTGGAAATCCCTGTTACCCAGAGCTGTGGGCTTGTTTCGTGGCGTTCTCAATGAGGAGAGTTCAAAGCCAATCTCCTTAAAATCATGAATCACTAGAGTACTAGTTTCACAGTGTAACACTAGGGTCTCCATTATCATCTCTGTATCACCAGGGTGCCCATTTTCTACTGAGCAATTTCTGGGATTTCATAGCACAATAAAACAAGAGAAAAATAAGCCATTATGGATTTAAAAACAAAAGCCAATACATCTTCATTAATTAATGTGATTTAATTTCTCAGAAAATCTGAGAATAACTAGACGATTATTAGAAAAGTTATTAGTATTAATGAGGATTTTAGTAAGATTTCTGGATAGAATTGTCAACAGACAAGAAACTGCTTTTTTAATACACTACTAGTATTCTGAAGAGTTGAACAATTACTACTTTTCTTCTGTGTCATGGATCTTAACATGAGAAACAGAGGAGGAAAGCCAGTGAGGTTAAGTTATTTTATGTGTGATAATTCAGGATTTAGCTTTCATCCGTGGACAAGGACTTTCTAAAGTAAAGCCACTAGTATCAGAAGTTAGCCTGGAGCTGTTCCTAGCAGGGAAGTTGAGGACACCCAGCTCTGCAGCTGGCCGGTGGACCCGGCACTGTGCTGGTCTCTCCTGATCCTTACCTCTGCGTGTGCTGTTACCTCACACTTTCAGGTTGGCTGTGTGCAGGGCAGAGGATTGAAAACAGCACCTTCACAGAGCTCCTGCTACACGGGAAGGGTGTTTTCCTGCCCCTAGTCCCCATAAATCAGCAATAAACAGAAACTGCCAGTTAAAACAAGATACCATTGAGCACAGCAATTAAAAAAACAAAATAAAAAAAAGGAACATAGAAATATAACTAAAAGTAAAGACCTTTTGGGCATAAAATTATAAAATTTCAAAGAGATATTACAGACAGAAGAAAGGATAACAACTCAATGAGAGGAAAAGCGTCAATACTTGCAATTTCAAAACCCCATTTAGATTTTTCATGGTAGTTGATCAGGCAGTGAAAGTTTCCTCACAACAATGAAGGAAAAGAACAGAATGCTAGCTAGTAAGAAAGTAGCACGGTCTCCTCTGCTGCTCAGCACAAAACCTGACCCTGCTGGGCTAAGGACTTGAGTATGTGCAGCAAAGCTTGAAACTTTCGGTAAAAAATACAAGACTTTATTATGATCTGGAGCTGGGGAAACGTTTCTTAATTGCTAAAGACAGAAAAAAGCTCCCTTACAAAGGAAAGACTACCAGACCTCAGTACAGGGGAGTGAGAAGCATCGGGGCTTTACAGTACAGCTCTGAGCACGTCACTCAGTGTAGAGCACTGCCTGTTACATACGGGGCCCTGAGTTCCAGCTCCAGCACACAAAACAGCCAACAAACCACCCCAACTAGAGAAAGTGTCAGTACACACAAATACTCAGAAATGCAAAGAACTTCCAAATTAACAAGAAAGCAACTGAAAAGACAAATAGAACAGCCACAAACACAGCAAGCGGTGGCACACAGTGCTCCGTTTCACGTGCACTCAAAACCACCTCGTTCCCACATGATGGTCAGAAATGGAAACAACCTTTTCAAAGAGGCAGGAGAGGAGCCCTAAGTCCTGCTGGTAACCTCAGTTCAGCGACACTTTGACACTCATGTCCCGGGCCACTCCAAGTCTATATTAGAGAAAATAACCGAAGAATTTTCACAA